GTCAAGGCCGGCGCGCTGGTGGCCGTCAGAGCCCCGCATGTCAGCGGCGCGGACCGCGCGCTGGCCGGCAGAGAAAACGGCGGCGACCCGCGCGGCGCGCGGGGGTGTACGTGGGCCGGCCGCTCGGCGCCGCTGGTGGCGCGCCCGGACGCGCCGCGATTGGAAACAACTGGAGCGATTATGGAGAGGAGCGATTCATCAGCGGTGTTGGCGGCGTGCGGTGCGCCGGCGGGCCGGGCCTGGCGGCGCCGCGGGCGCGATGGATGAGCGCCGGCGCTGGGGGGTGCGGCTGCGGTCCGTGCGGCGCTGATCCGGCCTGCTGTGTCGGCCGGCCTCGGGTGGCGGGCCGGTCTGGCTACTCCGTGGCATTGTCGCTTGTGATGTCCGGCCTTTGTGTCGCCCAGTGGTGTGGCGTGGTTTGTTTGCGTTTGATTAAGCAGTGTTACCCGTGAAGATGCCAACCAGGAAGTAATATTTCACGTCGGAGGTGTGGAAAGCTAGAGCTAAAGAGCAACTTAACGCTTCACATGGTGCTAAGGATGAAAGAGCAACATTAAGCTTACGGCGCACGAATGCTGAAAGTCAGTGATATTATTAGGTCCCCGTTACGAGATGTAGTCATTCTGGCTTTGACGTGCGCAGCCAGTCCGGACACGGGCTGACCAACGTGGACACGTCCGCAGGTTTAACGATCTACACTGACTTGTTTACGCTGACGTACGTACACTGAGCGTGCAGTGCGCGGGTGTCGTCGGTTGGCGTTCTCGACGCCCTTCCAGCGGGGAGGTCTCCCCTGCTCGGGTGCTCCGGCTCCGCTCGGGAGCGGCTGCGGCCGGCGGCTCGCGGCGATCGCCCTCCGGAGGGCCGGCGAGGGCGCGCGCGCTCCGTCACTGTCGTCGTCAGCCCCGCCGGCTAATCGCGAGCTGGAGCGCGTCGCGGCGCCGGCGAGAGATGCGCCGCGGAGTGCCTCCCTCAAAGGCGTGGCGGGTCCCGTCGCGCCGGTCGTCGAGGCGGGGGCTGCGACGCCAATGACGGAGCGGGGACGCAGTCGCTAAGTGATGTAATCGATTTCTGGAACGAGCCTCTCTCGGCCGGCCGTGCCGTGGCAGCCCTTCGGCGCGGCGCGCACCGCGGCGGGATGACTCACAGTGTCGGCCCGTCGGGCTCCCCTTTGCCGTTCCGCTCCGGCTCCCGCTGCGGCCGATGGGGGGTGCGCCAGGGGCGGCCAGCCGACGGGTCGCCGATCTCAGCGCTTTCTCATCACTTCGGTGACGGGAACGGGAAGGCGACTGCCGAGTTCTCAGATGACTCGCGGGACTGGGCTCACAAGCTGAAGCGCGATTTAGAACGAGTTCAAGCCCCAATCGAGACTGGGGCAGGATGCTGAGCTGGAGATCACCGCGTCGACGAACAAACCAATAGATGACACCGCGACTAGCCTGGGTGCTCAGCAGCGATTAAGTGGCTCGAGGCCCGGCTGGGGATCGGCCGCATTCTGAGCTGGAAAACGACCCGACCAAGCACGTTGCCCCGCTGAAACTGGCTGCCGGGCCGGGGCGATAGTAAAACTTCCCTGGAACGCCAGACAATAACAGCGGGAGGGCGGAGGCCGCGGTTACTGGGTCGGCACGATAGTAAAACGGTAGGGCGGGCCGCTTCGCATTACCGCCGGCCGGGCGAGCGGCAGCTATCGGTGCCCTATCGGGTAGTGGTTTCGAGTCGGCCGGGTCTGAACCGGCCGCAAGATTAACGAGCCGCCGCCGCAAAAGCTAACGAAGGCGTGCGCATTTTGGCCTTGTACGCTTTGTCCCGCTGCGCATCCTTCCACCTGACGGCAGCTGGCTGCACCTCTTCGCGTTGGGGTCGAGAATGAAACTTTTATTGTCGGCGTCGGAGATAACAGAGCTAAGCCAGTGTGATGACGGTGCTCGCGGACGATCAGATCGACTTCGGAGCGGCCCTGCCCCGACGAAGCGGTACCGACAGCGGCCAGGGCATACCGCTCCCCCCCCCCCGCCCTAACCCCACTAATGGCCGATACATGTCGGCACTGCGCGTCCCGCGGCCACCAGGTCGCTCATTACACCGCGGATAAGGTCTTGCACGCACCTGATTAGCCGTTGCTCAATCCGGCGCTGCGCTGTGAGGTAACGGCAACCCCCGCTGCTCCAGCGCTGGTGGCCGGTGTGGAGCTGTCTCTTGATTGCACGCTCGCCGCAACGTCGTGCACACCGGGTCTGTGTTGTTGTGTGGGTCTCTGTACTCGTCGTTCTTCTTCAAATCTGCCGCATTCAGTTCGTCCGTGAACTTACTCCACTTTATTGCCGTCAGTTTCGTGCCTTTCTGTTCTCAACGAGTAATGCTCTGCCATCTTTCCACGTCACCCTGTCTCTCTCCATATCACTTTCGCCCGCCTCGCCTGTTTCTTTTGTCTAGTTTTATACACACGTCGCTTCTCTCTCTCTCTCTCTCTCTCTCTCTCTCTCTCTCTCTCTCTCTCTCTCTCTCTCTCTCTCTCTATCTCTCTCTCTCTCTCTCTCCTCTCTCTCTCTCTCTCTCTCTCTCTCTCTTCTGTCTCTGTCTCTGTATCTGTCTCTGTCTCTGTCTCTGTCTCTGTCTCTGTCTCTGTCTCTGTCTCTGTCTCTGTCTCTGTCTCTGTCTCTGTCTCTGTCTCTTGTATCTGTCTATGTCTTGTCTCTGTCTCTGCTCTGTCTCTGTCTGTTCTGTCTCTGTCTCTGTCCTGTCTCTGTCTCTGTCTCTGTTCTGTCTCTGTATCTGTCTCTGTCTCTGTCTCGTCTCTGTCTCTGTCTCTGTATCTGTCTTGTCTCTGTCTCTGTCGTTTCTGTCTCGTCTCTGTCTCGTCTCTGTCTCTGTCTCTGTCTCTGTCTCGGCTCTGTTCTGTCTCTGTCTCTGTCTCTGTCTATGTCTCTGTCTCTGTATCTGTTCTGTCTCTGTCTCTGTCTCTTCTTGTCTCTGTCTCTGTCTTCTCTGTCTCTGTCTCTGTTAGTCTCTGTATCTGTCTCTGTCTCTGTCTCTGTCTCTGTCTGTCTCTGTCTCTGTCTCTGTCTCTGTCTCTGTCTCTGTCTCTGTCTGTCTTGTCTCTGTCTTCTCTCTCTCTTCTCTATCTCTCTCTCCCTTCTCTCTCTCTCTCTCTCTCTCTCTCGTCTCTCTCTCTCTTTCTCTCTCCTCTCTCCCTCCCTCTCCCCTTTCTTCTCTCTCTCTTCTCTCTTTTTCTCTCGCTCTCGCTCTCTCTCTTTCTCTCTTCATCCCCTTTAACCTCTCTTCATTTGTCTGCGTCATGTCCATCTAGCATCATCACCTCCAACCATCACGCTCCTCTCCCTCCAACCCGTCCGTCTCCTCTGCGCTCTGCCTCGTCGGTGCTCCCCACTCTTCCTTCCGGCCCTGATAACGGCCGTGCCACACACAGCCCCAATTGATGGATTCCCGGTAAATATTTAGCGCCGCCGGGCCGGGCCGCCTCCTACACGGGGCCGCGCCGTCCCGCTCCCGTCTAATGCACGGGCCGACGCCAACTTTCTGTCGCTGCATGCACGGCGCACGTCGCAGGCGATGTGACCCGCTTGACGGGCTGGCGTCCCGCCGGCGCTGGGGCTTAATTCGGCTGTTTGCCGCGGGCCGTCTGGTTTTGGTTTGCCTGTTGTCGGACTGTCCGACTTCGTCATTCGTTTTGATCGCGATCAGGCGTTGTTCCGCTTCAGCACGAAGTTCTTGCCGGTGTTACCAAATACACATTGGGCTAGATTACATCCGAAGCTGAATTCATACACGGGGACAAAGAGTTTGTTCCCCGTCCCAGCGCGGTCGCAAACGCGGGCAAAACACGTCCTGACAGCTCCGGATTCGCTCGTGTGTGTCGCCGGCCGCGGTGTTACTCCCGATCTGTCGTCAATTGTGGCGCCGTCGCGTCGCGAACGAGACGGCCGGTGAGCTGTGACCGGCGGCTGGCGGACGCCGCTGAACTGAGGCCGCGGCGCCGGCCGACGCGGCCCGACGGCGCACCTGTTGCGTCCGTCCCGCAGGCACAGCCGCCGGCCGGCCGGCCGTCGGGGGGGGGCACGCCGCCACCCGTCGCGGCGTCGCCGCCGGTGACGCGTCGCTTGTGGCGAGCGGTCGGCGTCGCGCTGGTCGAGGCGCCCGCGGTGGTCGGAACGAGAACGTGTTGGGCTGGGGTGGAGGGGCCCCCGCCTGGGAGGCCCGACGTTGACCGGACTCTGCACGGCCAGACCACTGTCAACAGGCGCCGCGGGCGTGCCGTAATGGCCTGCGACGGCTGGCGGCCGGCGCTGGGGCCGGCGGGGACCCGCTGCGCGACGAGCCGGCACCTCGCGCCGGCCGTCCGCCGCCGACCGGCTGTGAGCAGGGGAGGCGACGGTCCGCCGGCCGGCCGGGCTCCATATATGACGGAGCGGCTCGGCCTTGGCCGGCCGGTCTCACCGCGAACCACTTGCCACATGGTCCCGGGCCGACACCGCTGGCCGCCCTGTGTGCCGCCTGACGTAGACGACCGGTCCCGCCGTGTTTTGTCCGGCGTCGCACGCCCCTAGCTGGCGCCGCTGTCTGCCCCCGGGGACGGGAGACTTCCTGGCGAGCCCGTATGGTGGCCGTCTGTCACGCGACACTTCTGCGTACAGGCAGCTGTGGGCGACTTCAAATCGCGGAAGTCGGCCCGCCTCTAAATGTGGCATTGTTCGCCGTTGTGTTTCGTCGGCAGTTGTCTGCGTGATGTTTTGCACGTCGTCTACAACATATCCAACGCGGGGGAGAGCAAGCGAAACACACGTCGTCGAAAGACATCGGCGTTTTGCTATGTGAGACGCGCTTACCATGTGGCCTTCCGCACGCAGTCGCCAATCCCGTCCATTTCGGCTCCTCGGGGCTCTGCGACGCACTCCGCTGCCGGCTCGATACTTTGCGTGCGGGTGTGTTTGTGTGCACGTGTCGGCATCGCTGGCGGCGTCCCCTCCCGCGGGGCTCGTTCAGGACTTGCAGCCGTTCTGGCCCAGCTGGGGGACGGAGGGTAACCGAGCGGCAAACGGTACACGTGAATTATGGCGCCATTATGCGCACGGACCCCCCTGCCGAAGGGACGGACGTCGCCGCCTCGTGTACTAGTGATCGGCTCGACGGTGTGCCGCCGTTGCCGCTGCCCACCCCGCCTTTAAACGCACGTGTGGGCTGAACCAGCCATTTCTTCCAGGACCGGAGCCCATTTGTTAGCAGCAAATGTCACAAGCAGAACAATTTTGTTTTGTGTGTGCTCGTGACAATTTAAAGTAACGAATGGATGAGGCTTCTTTTATGGGTGACGTTGCCTAAACACGGTGCATTATTTTTGCTTAGCTCTGGCGACTTTTCGCACGGTAGTCGGTATTGGTGGTAACTGAAGAAATATAATTTGCCTTGTTTTGAAGTGCTCTTGGAATGCCTGTATATATATGAATAAGCTTGTGTCTGATATGTTGAGACGACCACCTCGTAACTTAAGACATTGTGTTAAAAAACGAGGAGAAGTTTGGCGCATCAGCGTATTTTGCCAGCAGTGAGCAAACCCACATCGCAAACGGAGCTTTAGGCTCGTCAGGTTATGTTATGATGCTGTTTATGTCGGTTTAGGTTATGATCAGGGTATGATCACAGCAGCACCATTTCGGCTGCGGTCAGCTACATCAACAAACGGCAGAGCTTCGCTAGAAATACACAGCCCGGTGACAAAAGCACACGGTTCGCTGGAAGGTCAGTTTAGTCTGAAGCCCAGCTGAGCAGCGCGTGACGTGTAGGGCCGCTGAGTAACTGGTCAGCGTTTGGCCACGGCGGTGCACGTGGTCACGCAGGGAGGGGCTCACCACAGACGACTGCCAGCGACTGGTCCCACGGACCCGCGGCCCGGTGCCAGGGCGGTCTTTACCCGACATCTTTCACTCGCGGCTGCTCAGGGTATTTTTTTTCGGCCCGTTCCGTGATCGTCGCCACGGTGGTCTTAAACTTTTCCGCAGGGTGTCTCGAGATGTGTGCGAAATGTTATGCAGTGGAGAAACAATCACCCTGAAGCACCGAACTAGGCAAGTCTTGCCAGACATGGGGACTGAAACCATGAAAAATGTGCGCTTTATGAAGGCGTGGACTTGTTACCATATACTGAATGCACGAATGATGCATTTGACATTAATTCACGACTTTTGTTAGCTTCTGTTGAACTAGCCTGACATGTGGTGTCTGACAGAGCTAGCCATAAGTTACGAAGTCACCTCTGCAAATACCTGACAGAACCAACCTTGGGAATTGTCTTAAATTGAAGCCATGTTGCCAAGCTTCGTGCGATTTCCGTCAGGAATGTGTCAGAGCACCGATGTTGAATTAACAATGAAAATTGTAGCCACAGAAAACTATGAAAAGCATGATCACACACATGAGTGACCGCTTCTACCAGTGGCGCTAGAACCGGCGGGAGTTTGATTGATACGTTCATAATGCATCTGAACCTCCTCGAAGTGTCGGGTGTTGGGCGCCAAAAATAGAATATAAGAAATGGAATATCAAAAATGATCCACGTTTCAAAAATCCCCAAATATAGTGGCCGAACGGCGACGATAGATTGCATTGTGGATGTAGGTTGGGATGTTTCCTCAGACTTGCAGCCAACCAACCTCAACGCAGTTCTTGCACCTGCGCTCCCCCTAATGGGTTCCTTATCATCGAGGGTAAGCTTCCAACATCGATGGGGTGATCCTGTAGGCAAAAGAGTGATTATCTCGCGCAGACATACCCCAGCGGTCACTGCAGCGCGCGCTGCGTTACTGAGCCGTGACGGCCTTTGGACAGTGCTGGAGGTCATCCCTCTTTTTGGCCATCTCGGTGTCTACTTCATTCACTGTCATCTCTGTCTTGCCTGGGAAAGTTGGGTTCACTTCAACATACTTGTGCGCTCAGCGCCTTATACCCATAATGTAAAGAAAGGTCACCATGCCCAGAATCATTTTCCTTTTGGAGCTTCATGAACGTTAAAAACGCTTAAATTTATTACGTATTTGTGATCGACACGGATTGCAGGTAGCAATAAACCAGTTTAATTTTCCTGCCCCTTAGGTAAGGCAATATAGTGGACATCGCGACTAATGTCAAAACACATTAATAACAGGGGAATTTGTCCGGGAAAATGCACCCGCACAAAACAGTCTTACATTTACTTTATCTCCAACTGTGGGAAAAAGTAGTCATTTTATTGTGCGACGCTCAGTCGGATTTTGCCCCTCAAATCTAACCGAAAGCAGCTGGTCCGTATTTATGCTGTGGTCGTTTTGGGCGTGGCACGTCTGGTAAACCAATTCAGATAAACAGTGCCTCAGAAATGTCATGCGCAGCTCATCGTGATTGGAAGGAGAGAAAGCGGACTCCTCCCGCAGCTACAGCCTGGTTATTTGCGTGCTCCAGGGTCGGGGCTCTGAGGCGGCGATCAATTGTCCCGGTGCCAAGGCGATGTCCATTTGGGTCCGATGTTCTGCTCCATCGGTGGGCTTCGCCCATGTAGGTAGACTCCGTTTGCTGACAGTCGTAATGAAGCTGTCGGCCACTTGATGCATGCGGAACCCGATTTATGCGCACGGGAGTGTCTTTAATGAACAGCTCTCCCGGTTTCTATTAGTCGCCCACCCATCGGTCGCTCGCTTCCAGGGCGCACAAGCGGGTCCGACTACTTATCTGCTCGTTTTTCGGATCGGCCGTTGCTGTTGCATGTTGCGTGCAAGAAAGACTAACTGCTCGGAAGCTTCAACTCTCTAACTCATGTCGCCGATCCATTTACATGTGTATCGGAACCTTCGTGTGTGGTCTCTGGGCGTTTCCATTTGTCAAGTGCGCAGTCGGTATTTGCGGCAGGCA